TGGGCTTTGAAAACTCTATTTTGTCTCTTGAATTGGTTTCCTTGCTTCAGATACAAGTGGCAGAGTCGTTCCCAATAGTTGTACTGAATGGAACTTTGTTTTGCTTTGGTGTTCTATTTTTCAATGCATGCCTTTTGGATTGTTTGTTTTAGCACAATTGATTATAGCTATGTTTACAATCACAATAAATATAAAATATTAAAATAAAATCCGTTAAAATAGCATGTCAATCCAATGAAGGTGAAGTGTTACAAAATATCAAAATATAATCCTTTAAAATAATTAGGCCAGTTCGATTTAAATAAAATATGTCAATAAAATTATTTAAAAAAATTATGTCTCAACTATATATAATTTGAACACTTATTTTTAAATTATTATTTTTTAAATATTTGTACCCAGCATGATGTATATAGATAAACATAAAAGGTATTGAGCATGCCATGTAGCTTAAGACCTTTAAATGATTATTTGCATATATAAAGTGAACCTTTTGCTGCTTCTTTTCATGTTCCTAGCCAACGAAGTTGTCATGATCTTACCTCAACATCCCCAAATAAGGGGACAACCATTATTGGCCATTAAATTGGCACTAACCAGCCATCAACTTCGCAGCCACCAAATATAATGAAACAATTTTTGAAATTTGATTATAAATTGCCCTAATAAAACATTATTTAACCCAAAGTAGAGCTTTGATCGACTCACCTCTTATACTACCTATATGTTTGCGGTTGGCGACATGTAATTAAAATTTCGACTTTAAATTTCATTTACTATTAATACTGTAATATTTTGATGGTATGATTATGAGACAATGGTGGTTGACGTTTTAAATTTTTAGAGAATCAATAGAGTATAATGTCAAAAAATATTTAATGTTGTGTTAAATAGTCACTTCGACTATTTTTAACTTTCAATGTCTTATTTTGAGATAAAAAAGGACCATTGATGAATGTAAACAATTAGTTAATAAATGATTTTGGTAACATCTCAAAAGTTGAGTTAGTGACCAAAATGAAAGTTTTTGAAACTTAGTGACCAATTACAGAAAAAAAAGATCAAAAGTTCAAGGATTTAATTAGAGAATTTTGGTGTTGGAGTTAATAGCAAAGTTTGAAAGTAGAAAGGGTATAATGGCCATTTGATAAGAAATATTTTTATTTTCCCTTTATAAGGGATTTAACCACGTGGAATGAGAATGGAAAAATAAAGGAAAAATCTGGAGAATTGGAGCTTCTTCTTCCTCCTCTTCACCCGTGAGCTCATTTCAAAGGTAATGTTTCTTACAAGTTGATTTTACCTTTAATTTTAAGGTTAGCTTTTGGTCTTTGGGTGTTAGAAAAGCTTAAGGAAAAATTAAGATGGCTTAAAACTCAAAGATGAATGGGTTAAGAGAGATTAAGTAAAAAGAGTTTTTAAGTGAATTATTGGAAGAGAGTTAGTAATTCATTTTTGACTTGTCAAGGGTCTAATTAAGAAGTTAGAAGTAATAGAAGTGAATTAAGGACATGTTGAAAATTTAGTAAGATTCTTGGTTTCAAGAATTATAATGAGATATTGAAGATGATGATGTGTTATAGTGTTAAAAGATGGTTTAAGTATGTATAGTTGAGTTTAATAGCATGAAGGGAGTTAAATAAAGGAAGTTTAAGTGAAGCATTGGTAATTTTCGGGTTAAAAGTATCGGTATTGGTTGAGTAAGTACCAATACTACAAGGCAAAATATGTGATTATTATGCGTAGGGTATCGATACTGCATGAACAATATCGATACCATAAGGCAAAAATGGGATAAATCTTCATGGGGTATCGATACTGAAGTGATAGTATCGATACCATGGGTATCGATACCAATGTGGTGGTATCGATACCATTTTTGCGATAAAATTACAGAATCAAGGAAGGGTATCGATACCGTGATAGGGTATCGATACTACAAGCATAGAGGTATCGGTATTGTGCTTGTAGTACCGATACTAAAGTTGGAAATCAGAAATTAGTGTTGTATTTAGTTTGCATTGGTAAGAATTTGTTAGAGTAATTCGAATTCCGACATTTATGTAAATTGTATTATTGTGTAGATATTGATCGGAAACAAGTATCTGATGGTTCAACGAGTTAAGATCAAGCAAGAAAGAGATAAGTGTACGATTTGGACTAGTGAGGCTAAGGTGAGTGCATATAAGAATCTGTTAGAGTAATTCGAATTTCTATATTAGAATGCATGAACTCATGAATATAAGCATATGATTAATATGAGTATATGTGTTGTATGTTATTATACATGTGATATGATATGTGTGAATGCATGTTATGTGATTATGATATAAATCCTGTGAGAAGGAACTATGTGAACATATGAAAAATGAAATAAGCTAAATAATATTAACATATGTGGCTATGTGTGAAATAGTATTAGCTATGCGATCATAAAAGTATGTAAATACATGCCTATGAGATAAGCCATGGGACTATGAGCTATGTGAAAATAAGTGATGTGATTACATGATCACAAGAGTTAAGCCATATGATGTGAATTATATGATAAGAAGCTATAAGAATATATGTCTCGGTGATATGACTATGTGAAATTGTGACAAACATAAATGATAAATTCCCATGTTATGTGATATGAGAGGTAGGGGTATAGTTGGCATGCCAAGAGTCGAGGGTTCTATGTGGTTCTTCGGGATATATATGTAATCCTTTGGAACATATATGCGATTCTTCGGGACACGTATTTGGTCATTTGGAATATGTATGTGATCCTTAAGAAGTGGTCATTCGGGACATCTATGTGGTCCTTCGAGACATATATGTGGTCATTCGGGACAAATTTTATATGCCACTTAGTGGGACTTTATACGAGCTGTGCTGACAGTATATGTGCACAACCTCAATGTACTCACATATCTTTAGTTCTCACAAGTGTACATGGACTATTAAAAGATATAACATAAATAAAATATATTTTTTATTATGTGTTTTGTTGTGTGAAAAGTATGATATGATGTATGTAAGTGTTAAGTACAAGTTTAAATCATAAGAGAGATTAATGAGAATAAAATATGATAATGTTAAGAATATAGAGGATGATATATGTGCATGTATGTATTTGCTACATGAAATAGTATATGATTTTGTATGATATAATAGAATTAAATGTTCATGCATTGTTAGGAAATTTCAGTTACATTATATGTTTTATATGCCTCACTAAGTCAACGACTTAGCGTGTGAGTGTTTCACACGTAGGTTTCGATGAGATTATGGAGCAAAGAGGAGCAAGACATGTCAGATTATCCTTTCCAAAAATCAGATCATAAATATATTTGAATAGTATGTATTTTGTTTAAGAAATATAGTTGGCATGTAAATAAAGATTTTAATTATATATGCTCTGGTCAGTTTTGTAAAATCATATAATTGTAATTAATGTAAAATATTCATCGTTTTTCTTGAAAGGTGAATTTGAATTTTTAGCTAATTTGTAAAGAAAAAACGTTTTAAAAAGTCAATGTGACACCAAAGATTCGTATCCGGGTCAGGTAGGGGTTGGGGGCGTTACAATGTTTTTGAAAAAAAAAATTAATAGATGATTAGTGCTCCAAATGGGGGAACGCTTTTTCCCTAAAATAAAACGTTGAGGGATAAAATACATTAAAAAAAATATAAGTCAAAATGATCATTTTAATAAACATTGGAGATATATTTTAATATTATATCAACTAATATATATATATATATATATATATATATATATATATATATATATATATATATATATAATTAAATTTGACTCAATGTATAATGTGATATTTGATACAGTTATACACATAGAACTTTAATTTTTTTATAATGATATATATTCAATTTATCAATTGATTAATTTGGATCAGGTACTGCAAGAGAAACTCTCTCAGTCCAATTTACTCCATTCACAAATGTCAGGATTCGAACCCATAACTTTACTTAAGGAATTTAGTGTTTCATTTCACCAGACCCATTGGTTATTGGTAAATTTTTACTTTTATTTAATTATAAATATCTTAAAAACTAAATATGATAATTTTATATTAAATTAATATAATTTTTTGAATTTATAATATGTAATAGTAAAATACTTTTATACTAGATAATTGTGATACTAGTTTATAAAAATTAAGTTAAATAAAAATTTTATTTATATAATTGTGAAAAGTTATATTATTTAACAAAAAATCATATAATCTTTAGATTTATCAAGTATAATCCATAATGAGATGTTTAAGGACTATTAAACCCAAGGTTTTGTGGGCTTACTCAACAGTCAATACCGGAAATTTTGGCCCAATACCATACGGGCTAATTATTTAATCCAATTTGACATTAGATTTTTTATTTTAGGAACTACGATATTTATTACAGTAACTTATAACTCGTCACGTCGAGATGATGAGTTTTAATAAAATACATTTTTATTGAAACTTGTCACTCAAACAGGACAAAAACTAATAAAAAATTATATTTTATTGAAACTCGTCATGACGAGTTTAAATAAAAAAATATTGTTTGAACAAACTCATCATATGAGCGTGACGAATTTATTAAGTAATGTAACATTTTTCATAGATTCCAAATTAATTTTAAAGATGATCTAATTAATTAATTTTTTTATGCACATGACGTATTGGGTCAATTTTACCATCAACACCAGGTTGACGGGTTGATTAATTTTTTATGCACATGCCTATTGGGCCAATTTTACCCTCAACACCAGGTTGACTGGTTGACCCGTTCATATTGTAGACCGGATTGAGGATATTAAAACGACGAGGTTTAGTACATTTAGTGTTTCACAATTTTGAAACGCCGCCGTTCCGTGAAAATGTTACTATTCATGGTTTCTGAGCTTGTAAAACCCTGTTTCTGCAACTGTTGAACTTTGAGATACGCTGGCTTTCGGTTGAGTTACTGTTAAAAAGAAGGAGCGAATTTAATCGAAAAACCTTGAGAAAATGGGGAAGAAATCGAAGAAGCCGGGAAAAGGCAAAGAGAAAACGGAAAGGAAAACTGCGAAAGCTGAGGAGAAGAGAGCTCGTCGAGAGTCCAAGAAACTCTCCCCTGAAGATGACATTGACGCCATTTTGGTAATTTAAAAATCTTCATTTCTTTCTATTTAATTTCACAGAAATATTTGAAGCTTGGAATCATCTTCCAGAAGATATAGTTTTAAGATTTTCTTTCAAAGCAATTTCGGTTTGTTTTTTGAAAATTTGATTTTAAAATCATTGATTTGAACATGTACTTTGAGTTTCAGTTGAGTATCCAGAAGGAGGAAGCAAAGAAGAAGGAAGTTCATATTGATGAAAATGTTCCTGCGCCGTCTCGTCGATCAAACTGTTCGGTATTGCCTTGCCTATGGCCGCTAAGTCATTTTTATCAAGATTTCCTTTTAAAGGGAAATATATATATATCACTTTAAAATTGATTTTTTGTTTATTTTGTCTTAATTGTGTAGTTAACGGTTAATCCACTGAAAGACACTGAGTTGATACTATATGGTGGTGAATTCTACAATGGCAGCAAGGTTAGATTTGAAAAGGAGCTGTTTTGGCTATAGGAATTGAGTTGGAGTCGGTGATTTTTTTTTTTCATTTCAATTTGTAGAAAATGATGATGATTTGGATTGGTGCAGACATTTGTATATGGTGATCTTTACAGGTTCGACGTGGAAAAGATGGAATGGAAGTTGGTCTCAAGTCCTAACAGTCCACCTCCTCGTAGTGCACATCAGGCAGTTGCTTGGAAAAATTATCTCTATATCTTTGGTAGAATTGGCAGAACTTTGCCTCATTTTGCGTATGTAATTGTAATTATGCAAACTCTTGATATTTCTTCATGTAATACTTCATTCTTTGTTCTATTAGGTGGTGAATTTACATCTCCAAATCAAGAACGGTTCCATCATTACAAGGTGAAACTGCTTTACTTCAATGTACCATTATGTCTTTCAATCCCTCTTCTCTTTCAATGTTAAAGATTTCAAGTTGAAAATTATTTTAGGACTTTTGGATGTTGGATCTGAAAACAAATCAATGGGAACAACTGAATTTGAAAGGTTGTCCAAGTCCACGTTCTGGTCATCGAATGGTAAGTACAAGCTCTCTTAACTTTGATATTTATGCAGTTTAATTTATAAGAAAATGATGTTGTCATTTAGGGTTTCTATCTCTCTGTAAGGCAGGTTGGATCAAAGAGCTAAATTAATTTCCTATTAGTTTTAATGCCAATTCAGGGGGAGAAAAAAAGAAAGGAATTGTCTGTCTTCTACTCTTTATTTCATCTTTTATTTTGGTCTTGTTGCAGGTCCTGTACAAGCATAAGATTATTGCTTTTGGAGGCTTCTATGATACTCTCAGAGAAGTGAGGTTGTTGATGGTCCTTTTGAGATATTGTTAAAGGTTTCATAATCTCATTTATAATTGGAAATTTTCAAAAAATTAAAACCAATTTCCTCCTCTATTTTAAGCTTTATATAATTCTTATCAACATTATGAGGTTGGTAGCTGTCATTGCAATAGCTAACTCTTGATATGCATGTGAATGACCTATCAAGAATTTGGAAGAGGATTTAATTACCTCATGTCTTGTGTTATCTATAAAATAAGATACAGTGATGCTTCAATAAATGAGTAATTTCCGTGCAAGGAATGCCTTCCTCTTCTAACTTTTAGGGGATTCTACTTTTGATAAATATTAGGAATTTAAGTCAAAATTCCATGATTTGAATTCAAAGAGACAGAAGGTGAACTAACATTCAGGTGCTGTTGAAATCTGAAGTACTTAATATTCTCTAAAACTATATTTTACTGATGCTAATACTGATATGCCGTGCATTAACGTAATCGGTACTACTTTCTTGACTTCTTTCCTGACAATGAACTTTAACATTCTAATATTTGCTTAAAATTATTACCCTCTTACATTCAAGGTTGACTATTTGACTCCACACGAAATACTTGTCTATAGGTATTATAATGATCTGCACATCTTTGACCTAGATGAGTTCAAGGTGAACATTTTCCTTTCTTTTGTTGATTTAATTTATTATGTGTTACATGTTAAGAATCATTTAGCTTTGGAACTAATGATATGTGCTTTTGAAATGTAGTGGCAAGAGATAAAGCCTAAGCTTGGTTCCATGTGGCCTAGTGCTCGGAGTGGTTTTCAATTTTTCATGTACCAAGATCAGGTGAGTTGACCAAAAAAGGCCACTTGCATAGGCATCATGAAACTATTTTGAATTCTTAAAATCTAAACTGGTGCTCTGATTAATGCTTGATATTTGTTAGTTAGCTTAACAATGGATTTTGCCTTGTATTCCTTCTCACCTAAACAGGAGCATTTTGTACGTCACTGATATTTATGTATTAATTTCTTTAAATATAATTTTCAGATTTATTTATACGGTGGATACTACAAAGAAGTGTCTTCTGATAAGAGCAGCAGCTCGGAGAAAGGAATTGTTCATGCAGACATGTGGTCTCTTGATCCTAAGAATTGGGAGTGGAACAAGGTTTGTAGGTCTTTCCCCCCCTCCGATCAGCATGAATAAATGGTGATAAAATGAAAGCATATTGTTACCTACATTTGATTGGATTCTAGTTCTGTACAACTTCATACATCTTTAACTTTTCACTTTCAAACGATTAGCTGCTTGTGTACATAAATAGAACAGAGTGTCATCATGATTGGCTTTTAAATCTTACTTATTAATCATATTATCCACTGTTTAAAAGAACTGCTTTAATTGATTTCATAGAAACTATTGCATCCGACGTCTTGGCATCTCGTTCTCACCTCTTTTTCTTTATGAAAATCAGATTAAGAAATAATTTTGTAAAGTATGTATGCTTAATTAGTATGAGATATGTTTTTCCTTATATATTTCAGCTCAAGTAAAATAATTATACTATGCAGTATTAATCAGGCATCTGTTGCCTTGGAACAGGTGCTTGTGCAGATTATTATAAATACTTTGTTTTAGATTCTTATGACTTTTAACAGCGTACAGGTTTTTGTTGATATGGACAATTGTCTTTTGTAATATTTGCTTTCTATTTAAGTGTTTTTCTTAATTTTGAAGTCCTATCTATAATTTTACTCTCATATTTGATAAAACTTCCTGTCTTATAGGTTAAAAAAAGTGGGATGCCACCTAGTGCTCGTGCTGGGTTTTCCATGTGTGTTCATAAGAAGCGTGCTATGCTTTTTGGGGGTGTCGTAGATATGGAAATGCAAGGTAACTCTCCCTTCATCTCTCTGATCTTCTGCAATATAAACAATCACACCTTAATTGCAATTAAAGAATGTTATTTTGAGGTTCCAATGATGTTCACTTCACCTACCGGAATTAATGGTCTGTTAAATGATGATTCTGCAATACCTGTCATCTTTGTTTTTGACTAAATTTATATGCGCAGGTGATGTAATGATGAGCTTGTTCTTGAATGAACTATATGGCTTCCAACTAGATAACCACCGATGGTAAGCATGGTCTATTCAACAACTTAGAATCTTTAATTCATATCCATTCTATCAGGTAGATTTTCTAGTCATACTCACTTTCTGACACTTTAAAAGTGTTATGGAATATGGAATAATGAGCTGATAATTTAACCAAAGTTCGCTGTCTGTGGGCTTGATAAATAATTGTGAACAAAACAAACATGACCGTGTGTGTTGTGTCAATCTGTATCACTCTCATTTTATTTTAAATTTTGAAATTGGCTGTTGAGTGATATTGCTGGTTTTTTTCACTTAATGAGAATGTTCTTATTAGGTACCCTTTGGAGCTACGGAAGGAAAAGTCAACTAAGGTCAAGGTATTGTGATAAATAAGGCTATAAGTATTGGATCTATCCACCGGTTATGCAGTTGTCCCTCCTACTTTTTCCTACTCTTAAGTTGTGCTGGCCTTTCTTTATGTTGACAATTATATTTTGTGATAGCTTTTAGTTTAATAACACAACTTGCTTTTCAATTGGTGTTTCTCAGTCAAAAAAGGATTCAAAACAAGAACCACCAAGTTCTATTTGTAATGACAAGGTAAATGCAATTGAAGAAGAGGCAAGTGGCATGGATGATAAAGACCTGATTTCAGAGTACGATGGAGAAGCAAGTTATGAGGAAAGCAACATTGATGAAATGTCTGAGAACATGGTTGAAAACTTGACAATTGATGATGATAGGTCAATTAAATCTGCTTCAGTGCCCCCACAATCTAAATCTAAAACTATATTTAATTATCAAGATTCTGTTTCACCTGAGGTTTGTCATACTTCATTCAAATGATTGTTCATCTGTTTTAAACATGCCTAACTTATTAATATGTGGATCTGCCATCAATTTTCAGGTCATAAAGCCCTGTGGACGCATAAATGCCTGCATGGTTGTTGGTAAAGATACTTTATATATATATGGGGGCATGATGGAGGTTAAAGATCAAGAAATTACGCTTGATGATTTGTATTCACTTAATCTTAGTAAACTTGATGAATGGAAGTGCATTATTCCGGTTTGTTGAATTCTCCTCTCTACTTTCGGTGTTTATTTATTCATTACTTAGTACCTGTTAAAACAATGGACTGTATACGAGAATCATTCTCTTATCATACATCCCAATATTGTGACAACTTGTTGATATATGTTCAAATAGGATGAGATCTTGTTAAGAATACAGAAGAATGCTATTTTAACTATTTTCTCTCCCTATAACCCTTCTCCGGGACCCTTCTAGATTTATGTACTGAAAGTTGAATCTTTAAAGTTATAAGTAAATCTATTTCTTTACTAATTTTTGTTAGTGATTTCTTGATTACGTAGTAAATGGTGTTTTGCTATTAAACGTGCATGTCTGCTTTACCTTTCAACTTCCTTATCCCTACAATTCGCAGGCATCCGAAAGTGAATGGGTAGAAGCCTCAGAGGATGAAGATGATGAAGACGAAGATGAAGATGATAGTGAAGATGGAGAGAGCGGTCATGACGATGAGGAGACTGATGATGATGATGATGATGCAGAGGTGATTACTTCCTTGTTTAAGCATCAATACTTTGGTTAATTGCAACTTCTTTTGTTGTTTCATCCTCAGGAAGATTATGTCGTAGATGTCTTCTCCCTTCGGAATTTATTATTTGTTTTCTTATTCTGTTTCTTCTTCAAAAACCTTTTTGTCACATGAATAATATGCCTAAATGTTTCATTGGAAGCCAATACTTGTTTCTTTCACATGTTAGGAAAAAAGAACCAGCCAATTTATATGATTTTGTATTCACTTGTCCGTGCAGGGTACGAATGATGGTCCGGGATCACTTCAAATGGGAGATGCTGTTGCTTTAATAAGGGGCGAGGGAAAGAATTTACGAAGGAAAGAGAAACGAGCACGGATAGAGCAGATTAGAGCCAACCTTGGCCTCTCAGATTCACAGAGAACACCAACGGTAGTTCCCCTAATAGGCTTTCTAAAATTCTTTTGTTCCAAGATGATGTTTGATAGATTTTTCATTGGTTAATTGTAGCCTATGTTGCTTCGACTTTCCATTTTCTCAAGTTATTTGTGTCTGACAGCCATGTCTGATGAGTATGGAGATATGATCCAAAAAAGATCGCCAAATACATGGGGAAAACTTAGAAAATCTATGTTAGGGACATAATAGTATCCAACACTCATATCCTATAAAGTTATATAAGTCCCCAAATTGCAAACTCATTCTCTGTAATGTGTTCCCTTTTGCAGCCTGGAGAATCGTTGAGGGATTTCTATAATCGTACTAATTTGTACTGGCAAATGGCTGCCCATGAACATACACAGCACACCGGCAAGGTCTGTTTGTTTAACATTTATGATTTATTTCTTTTAAATTTAATGGATCTAACCATTTTCTGCAAATTTGTTTTTTCTTGAGCTTTCTTATTCCAAACAAGAGTACCGTCCATTCCTTTGTGCGTGTGTTTTACCTATGCTATTCTCTTTTAAATGCACGTAACTGCACACACATACACTGATGTGCGCACAAACATATCAAAATGTCCGAGTAACATCCTGCATTGTGGTTTCTCTTCTTTTTGGGGTACAAAACATGATGAAGTTTGACTATGCAGGAACTCCGTAAAGATGGTTTTGATCTTGCTGAGGCTCGTTACAGGGAACTTAAACCACTTCTTGACGAGGTAACTTCTGTCGATGTTGACGTTTATATTGAAATGCTGAGGAATTGTCGAGATAATCATATTTGTCTCTCGATTTAATGAGTTCTTTTTCATTCTATGTGGTGCAGTTGGCCATATTAGAGACAGAACAGAAGGCCGAGGAAGCAGAAGGGCCAGAAACAAGTTCGAGAAAGAGAGGGAAAAAGAGAACTTAATTTTCTCCCAACGCTTGCAGTACTTTCAGCTTTTTGGTAAGCGTGAAAATTTAAAAGTTTTGTTGGTTTAATTTATGTGCTCTGAAGTCTGAACTTTGTCGTACACACCAACATGGCGATTGGTATTAGAACTGTTTTTATATGGGGAAATATTTATTAAATCCGAAGAGATTTTGGTGGTTATAATATTCTATATTTATAAGATCTATTTATCGAGTTCATACCAGTGTTTTGGTAGTTTGTAATTAATATTTTGTCGGAGTATGTGTCTGGTATTTCATTCTTTTATATTTTTTTAAAATAATCCTCTTAATTATTTATATCACGACATGCGGCCTTTACATTCCTTCCTTCAACTGATGCCGTTACTTTATTCATTTTATTAAATTTTTATTTAATATATCTTACTTCTTTCCTTTATTTTCTTGCAACCAAACAACCTCCAACTAGGGGTGTTCATTCGGTTAATTGGTGGCCGAACCGACCGAACTACCATTTTCGAATTAATCGAATTTTTTTTTTCTTTAACCGTTAACCGAACCGAATTTTTTTTCGAAAATATTAACCGAACCGAATAAATTTCGGTTAATTCGGTTAATTTTCGAATTAACCGAAATTTTTTAAAATTTTCTAATTTATATAAAAATTAAATATTTTATAATTCAAAAAAACAGTTTATAATTAATTTAAATAATATATAATTATAAAATAAAAAAATTATATAAATTTTTAAATTAATTAATATTGATTTAGGTTTAAAAGTTAATGAATCTTAAATTATTAATTGGGTTTTAAATGGTTTGGGCTGAGCTCATATGTTATATATAATATATTTAATATTTTTTAATTCAAAAAAACAGTTTACAATTAATTTAAATAATATATAATTATAAAATAAAAATTTTATATAATTTTTTTAATTAATTAATATTGATTTAGGTTTAAAAGTTATTGGATCTTAAATTATTAATTGAATTTTAAATGGTTTGGGCTGAGCTCATATGTTAGATATAATATATTTAAAATATAAAATTTTATTTCGGTTAATTCGGTTAATTAACCGATTTCGAACCGAATTAACCGTTAACCGAATATCCAAAAAAACCTTAACCGTTCCCCGACCGAACTAATTCGGTGGCCGACCGAATTAACTGAATTAGTTCGGTTCGGTCGGTTAATTCGGTTAAAACTGAATTTTGAACACCCCTACCTCCAACATTATAGATGCTAGTTGGGGGTGACTGTTCGTTCTGGCAATAGAGGGCTTAAGAACTATGGCATTTTTGGCCCAATATGGCAGCCCGGATTTTTTTCCCCTGCAAAATAGAGCACATACACTTTTACTTGCTGTATACACTTTTACTATGGCATCTACAGTATTTTTTCATGCAATGCATGGAACTTATTACAGTGAAGTGATGAGTTTTAATAAAAAATATTTTTTTGTTCGAACCTTTTTCCTTGCTGTGATAAATTTTAATAAAAAAATTATATTTTATTGAAAATTGTCACCTAGAACGAGTTTAAATAAAAAATATTTTTTATTGGAACTCGTCACCTATGTAGAAAATGTCGTAGATCCTAAAATAAACTTCTTGCTGTTTTTTACTATATAATTTACATGTTTGCCTTATTGGGCTAAAAAACCTTTATAGCTATGATTCGGGCTCTCGATCCGATGGGGACCTGAAATGGTAATTGGAATTGTGATTTTTTTGGCCCGATACGACAAGATGGCTAAATAATTAGCCCAATATGACACAAAAAAATTATTTAGGGATTTACGATATTTGTTACAGTTTTCATGGAATACGTCATGACGAGTTTCACAAAAAGTATACTTTATTAAACCCAAATGTTGAGTCTAATATTTATTATTTTCTAGAATTTGGTATGGCGACATGATGAGTTTCATTAAAATAATATTTTTTTAATTTTGATAGATTATTTTTTTTTGGAAATAAATTTCTACGAAAAAATCATGGAACTTGTCATGTTGACGTGACAAGTTCCAACAATCATATTGATACTTTTTATTAAAACAAAGTATTAACTCGTTCATCATATTAAGTTAGAAACATTAACTTCTACGTTACGTTAGAATACAACAATACAATAGAAGCATTAAGTGGTTATTCACACATCTTAGTTTTCATAGTCAGTTAAGTTAAGTTCTTCAATCTTCCATTCTATCTCTTGTTTTCTTTTATATATAAATAGCTCAAGTTCTTGAAGTTCAGTTTCTATATTGTTAGAAACATCAGGAGATTATGTTTTTGAAATGGAAAGAGTTGCGGCTTGCTTGTGATACTCGACAAATAAATCAACATTACTCACCGAATTGATAATGTATGTGTCAATCATTGTTCTAACTGCAACATCATTATTCATATAACCCATTGATGAATTTTGCAGAACTAAAGAGGTTGGAAATTGGAATTGTATTGAAGAAAGTGTTGAATCTTTAATAGCTACAACCTTGTATGAAATTTTGTTATAAAGTCGAAAAGTTGAATGTCTCACTCGAAAGGGATGGTGAAAGATTTTCCCTCACAATAAATTGTTGCCATAAAAAGTTTCAGAATATGAACTTGAACAATTAAATTTTGTGTCTGATAGAGACATGACTATATATAGGATTGAAAAAGTTGTGGTGAATTAGGATAGAGTATGATGAATTATTAAATATGGTTAAAAATATCATTTAATTGTATGATATATCATTGAAGTGAAGTGATATATTACTAAAAAGTTCAGAAATGAAGTAACTGGGTACTAAAAAGTTTGTTATTGTGTATTAAATGATCTATGAGAAGAGGATGTTTTTCATGAAAGCATTGGTCAAAAATGTCATTCAATTGTCTGATATATCACTGAAGTAAAGTGATTTATCACTAAAAAGTTTATGTTGTTGTGCATTAAATGATCTCTGAGAAAATAACGTTTTTCATTAAAGAATTAGTCAAAAACATCATTAAATGGTCAGATATATCACTGAAAAGTTTTTGTCATTGTGCATTAAATAGTCATTGATGATAGCTCGGTTTTCATTAAAGAATAGGACAAAAACATCTTTCAATGGTTAGATATATCACTGAATTGAAGTAATATATCACTGAAAAGTTTGTATCATTGTGCATTAAATGGTCATTAATGATAACTCATTTTTATTTTAAATTGGCTTATGTTCTGTGAATCTTCACAAAACTTCTATTTTTTACAACTTCATTAAAGCAGCAAAAAAAATTTCTCAAACAGTGGCTAACAAAATTTTCACATTTGTCCATTTCAATGCCCAAATTATACAAACTGATGATGGTGTTATGTTTACGTCACAGAGGTACCTAAATAAGATGTTCCATATAGATGTATCTTATCGCCAAATGAAGCAGAAAATTGAAAGAAAACTTGGAGTTTTTGTTTCGAGTTATCGATACATAATCTCAGAGATACCACTCACATATAGAGCAATCCATCTTGAGAATGATGACGATGTTGATGTTATGGTTGGATTGCATCAATTATCAAATGATCGAGATTTACACTGAAATGACAAATCCAACAAATCTGCCTATCTCATCAATAGTTGTACCCGTCGCTGAAGAACCAATACCATATATAGTGCATGAAAGTGGTGTAGATGATAACCTTGTTGGGCGATTCGGTGAAAGCCTTACTGAGTTTAGCGATGATGATGAAATCGTTGCTCCAATTATGGAATACGATGACACCAATACTTGATGATTCTAATATTGCCAAGACTATTTTATAAGGATAATGTTTCGATATAGAGGGTGATGTCTGGGAGGCAGCGGTTTCACGGGGTCATGGATTACATAATGCTCCAATCGGTTGGGCCCATTCACCAACACCCCTTTTACCTTAAATGACACAACCTCAAATGCCTCATTATAATCATTCAGTCGCAATGCTTTCTTTAATTATGATGCTATGTGGAGTCCCGAGATTCCTGACATGTCGGATATTTATGTTACCCACTAAGGTGCATCTGAAGTCGGATCAATAAAGTTAACAGTTGGGTCCATATTTGAAACTAAAAATGATGATAAACTAGCAGTGAATGAGTACTGTATCAAAGCCCATATCGAATTCTATGTTGTAGAGCCTAATCAAAAGACATATTCTGTTAAGTGTATAAACCATAACATCAGTTGTAAGTGGAAGATACGAGTTTTATACTTACAACGGAAGATGTTGTGGGAAGTGACAAGGTTAAATAATTAGCACATATGTACATTGAGCTTATTGACACAAGGCCACAAACATTTAGATTCCGATGTCTTATGTTCATATGTGAAGCTTCTGGTCAAAAAAATCCAAGGATCCTAGTTTCAGTGATAGTGACATCTATCTGGAATACATTTGGTTATATTTTGTCTTACTACAAGTTGCGAATGTGGAAATGAAAAGTAATGACACTGTTGTACGACGATTGGGATCAGTCATATAATAAGCTATCATATTTGTTGCGCTTAATGAAATTTTTCATCCCTATAACCATTGTATGATATTATATTCATCTTACGACCACGATTACTAGAGAAGTTATCCCAAGAAAGTTTTTGGTGGCTTGTTATGGGCTTTCAAGTCATCTATTGAAGGGTTTCTCTTTTGCAAACAAATGGTACAAGTGGATGAGACTTTTTTGTATAGGGTATACAAACACGTCCTAATAATAGCTTTTGCACAAAATGGTGAACAAAAACATTTTCCCTATTGCCTTCGCAATTGTTAAAAACGGGTCGCATGAAACTTTGAATTTCTTTCTCTTCAACTTGTATTCCCATGTTGTCACTCAAGATAAATTTTGTATGATATCAGACTGTTCACTTGGGTTGTTAACGACGATTTCTAAACCGAGAAGTAGGTGGTCGTTTCCCTACGCATATCCGACGTACTGTATACATTATATTGCCTCTAACGCAATGGCGAGATTTAAGAACAAAAATGAGATTATCAACATGGGTAACTTCTATGTTTTTTTTCCTTCGTGTTTTATGTTTTATTTGTGTTTTTCATTTATTATTCTTAAATCCAAGTTTTTTCAAGATATGTTTTACTACAACCAAACTACCGTGTGAGGCTAGAAAATTTGAGGAGATACGAAGAAGATATTTATAA